GGCCCTGGACACTCATTGATCAATGAGTCCAGCTTTTTGCTAAAATGGCAAAAATGTCTTGAGTTATGCGAAGCCACAGGCCTTGCACCAGATGCGTCTTTCAGCGTGTTTCTGCTGCTGACATACTCAGAACATGTGTACACAACAAAGAAGATCGATGCTGCTATGGTCGATCTTCTGGGGTACAGTAGAGAGGGTGTAGTAAAGATGCGCTAATTCAAACTCAACGGGTATCCCCATCGGCACCGGTACTCCTGCTCCTCGTGAGGATTTTGTGAAGCCGTTGGGAGCGTTTGCTCTTGCCAACCTCCCACTGCGTGGGTAGAAATTTAAAATATGTCAATTCCATCTACGTGATTAATTTAGCTGGAGCTGTGCATCTTATGTCAACCTTCCTCTTACAGGTAGACCAGGCCTCAAAGAATTCAGTGGCTCTCAGTTTGCACCCCATTTTCATGACACTCATGAGATTTCATAGATTTCATGTCTGTCTGCCATTTTCTTACAATCGGGAAGCAAAATATGCACCTCCTTGCGCTGGTCGCAAATTTTTCTGAATATTGGCCCTGGACACTCATTGATCAATGAGTCCAGCTTTTTGCTAAAATGGCAAAAATGTCTTGAGTTATGCAGGTGCAACTTGATAGCGTTTACAATATTTATCACTCCGTTATATATGGAAAAATACGCACATCCTTGTGCAGGTCACACTTCTGTCTGAATATTGGCTCTGGACATTCATTGAACATTGATACCAGTTTTTTGCTTAAAATGGCAAAAATCTCTTTAATTACGTAAGTGCAACTTGATAGAGTTTACAATATTTATCGCTCCATTATCGACGGCTCCCCTGTTGCAGATGCAAAAACAATGTCCACAATCAAGGCCTGTGTCTTGGACACAATTGTTTAATTAGTTAAAAATCATTTTGCTGGTTGCTGTGTTTGTAGTGGATGATGGAACAGAATTTCCTCTTTTACCTCTATTGCTGGAGTGCAATGAATATATCCCAGCTGCTGGGCAGCATATGAGGCACTTTGGAACCTCCCAGTTATGAACCCCATGGGGTGGAGGTTGATTGTAACTCTACAGATGTTCATAGCTGTGAACAAAATTTCTGATTTCTCCTTCAGCCCTGAACTATATTGATTTGGGGTTTTTTGAGGGGGTGGGGGTAGATTTGATGCATATTCCCATTTCTAAGTGAGAGATGTAGCTGGTCCAAGAGATACTTGGCTGGTGAATTAGTAGCTCTGCTGTTCATAACTCTGAGGTATTACAGTATGGGCAGGTGCACCTCTCTGTATCATGCGCACTCTGCTGAGCACTTTCAGCCATTGCTCTTTTACATCAGTGGCCGTCTGCGCAATGTGGCCTGTTATTGCCTCATTAGAAGGTGGGATCCTGTGTAGCTGTGATGCTGCTTTCTCTCTTGCGCTCCCTGCACCCGTACCCGTTATAAGTGGGAGCAGCACCTCATCTTTCCCTGAGCATTTATTTGTCCTGCTCAGTCATTGAGCCTGCAAAGCACAGTGAGTTGAGGTCGTGTCCGGTTTGGAGAGGGGGTGTGATACCAGGCCAGCAGACTGTCCGTTGCCAGCACTACATTACGAACCACATGCTGAGGTCACAGTGCAGCCCTAGACCCGCTCCACGTACAGCCCAGATAGAAATGAACTTTGCCATGGCTCCAGACTGCTTGTGGCAAGGCCCCAGCTCAGGCTGCACTACCTGCCCTCCAAGTGCGCCAGGGCTGTCTTTGTAGCTGGGACTAGGGCTGCATTGCCAGCACCCCCAGTGCTCCAGGCCTATAGCTGTACTGCTTGCTCTCTTGGCATCTGGGGAAAGGTCTGGGAGGCTGCAGTTGCTCTGCCTGCTGGCTTTTCTTACACTCTGGGCCACACCTTATCCACTGCCCCACTGGGGGAGCCCCCCAACCTCCCTACATTCTGGGCCCCCCATATCCGTCCTTTGTTCCAAGGGTGCCAGGTCGATCCATCACCAAGCATGTGGTAGCCCCAGGGATGGACCTGGCTCCTGCATTAGGAAAGCAGGATAAAGGACCCTGTGGAGGCAGGGTGGGTTCTGGAGTGGCCTTGGGGATACGGCATTTGTGTGGGGAGTGCAGGGTTGGGGGATCCCACCGTGGGAGCGGCCAGACAGCTGCCCCAGGAATGGAACAGTGGGGTTAAGGCAGGCTTACTCCTGCTCTGGCCCTGTAGCACTCCTGAAAGTAGCTGGCAAGTACAACAATGGCTCCGTGTGCTGCCCCTCATCCACAGGCACTGATCTGGAGGAGTGACCTGGCTGAGCGCCTGCCTCCACAAGAATCATCTTGGGACAAACCTCCCAGCGCTGCCTGTCTCTCGCCCAGCCGGCTGGGTGCTGGATAGTCCATCTGGCTCCCAGCAGCTGGCAGGTTCCATGGGAGCTGTCAAACTCTCTGTGGTACTTTATCCTCAGCCATCACCCAGACAGCCCATGTCAAAAGTCGGCCATAGGTTTGACCCTCAGTCTCTGGGAGCTCACTAAAGACAGGGCCAAAGGTTCCTCTGCCCTCGGTGGCCTCTCTTCACCAGGACATCCTTGACCCAGTGACCAGTGAATTATGGCCATGCCATGAGAGGTATTTAATTGCAATGGTGAGGTAAATAAAGAACGAACAGAAAAGACTCAAGGAATCCCACTTTGTGGGCATGGGATGTAAAGAAGACACACTGCCTGTTCCTCACTCATTCCAGGCCTCCTGCCCAGGCCCTGGCTATGTTGTGCTGATGCCGTGCGTCAGACACCTGCTCTGGATGTGCCGCATGCCTCAGAGAGTAGGTGGCAGGACCCTTCTCCTCAGCACCTGTCCTGATTCATGTCCCCCTTCAGAGTCCATCCCAGGGCCCCACCTTTCTCTCCCTGGCTGCTCATTTATGCTCGGCTGCCATGTTACTTCCGTCAGAGCCGGCATCCACTGTCCTGGCTATGGAACCACAGCTCCCTGCTGTCACTCGGCCCTGGTGCCACATTGGCACAGCCGTTCAGCTCCGGCACCAGTTCCACATCAGCCCTACCGCTCTGCCTCTGGCCCAGCTCTGCTGTCTGGGCTGCGTCCCTCCTACCTGTGGTTCTGGCTGCTGTTCCTCTGCTTTCATCCCAGCTTGTAAAGCTATGAGATTTCTACTGCAACAATAGCCCACAGCCCCTTAAGCACTAACACAAAAGTAGATCAGTCTTTTTCCAGATCATTTATAAATATGTTGAATAGGATTCATCCCAATATGGACCCTTGGTGGAAACCACAATTCACCTCTCTCCATTCTGAAAACTGACCCTTTATTCCGACCAATTTTTCCTGTCTTCTAGCCATTATCAATCGACGGGAGGACATTTCTTCTTATCCCATTACTTACGTAAGCACCCATGGCAAGGGAACTTGTCAAAGGCTTCCTGGAAATCAAGGGCTACATCTAGAGTGCAAGTCTCTTTTGAAAGAGGCGTTTTCAAAAGACACTTTCAAAAAAGCCTCTTTTGAAAAAGAGCATCTAGAGTACAACCAGTACTTTTGAAAAAGCAAGCCGCTTTTTCGAGAGAGAGCACCCAAGCAGTCTGGATGCTCTCTTCAAAAAAGCACAGTTGCATTACATAGCACCTTTTGTTGAAAGAGCACTTTTGAAAAAAGGCGTTATCCCTTGTAAAACGAGGTTTTCCGTGGTTGAAAAATCTGCCGCATTTTTTCAATTTACTTTTGAAAGAACGCGACAGCAATCTAGATGCAGGGGATGTTATTTAGAAAAAAAGACACTTTTTTCGAAAAAATCCTAGACACACCCTAGTTATACTATATCCCGAGGATCCCGTTTGGCCACATGGTTTTAGTCCTCTTCCAAGAACTCTTGTAGATTATTAGGGCACAATTTCCCTTTACAGAAATCATGCTGACTTTTCCTCAACAAATTATGTTCATCTATGGGTATGTCTACACTACATGGCTTGTCAATGGAGCCATGTAGATGAGCTTTGTAGACATAGGAAAATGAAGAATGAAGTGATGATTTAAATAATCTCTGCTTCATTTACATCAAAATGGCTGCTGCACTGTGCCGATCAGCTGTTTGTCGGCACAGCACGGTAGTCTAGACAGTCTGCGGTCGATATGAAAAGCCTTTGTCAACCGCCCCGGTAAACCTCATCTCACAAGGCATAACAGGGCGGTCGACAAAGGCTTTTGATATTGACCGCGGAGCGTCCAGACTACCCCGCTGTGCCAACAAACAGCTGATCGGCACAACATGGCAGCCATTTTGATGTAAATGAAGCAGTGATTATTTAAATTGCCGCTTCATTTTCCTATGTCTACAAAGCTCATCTACATGGCTCTGTCAAGAGAGCCATGCAGTGTAAACATACCCTATGTGTCTGACAATTTATTCTTTAGGATAGATTCAACGGATTTGTCCAGTACTGATGTTAGCCTTAACGATCTCGAATTGCCAGGATCACCTTTAGAGCCATCTTTTAATATTGGAGTCACATTAGCTATCTTCCCATCATTAGTACAGAAGCTGATTTAACAAACCACAATTAATAGTTCTGTAATTTTACCTTTAAGTTCTTTCAGAACTCTTGGGTGAATGACATCTGGTCCCGGTGACTTGTTATTGTTAAGCTTATAAATTTATGCCAAATCCTCCTCTACAGAAACCTCAGACATGGACAAGTCCACTTATTTGTCACCTAAAAATAATGGTTAGGTTTGGGAACCTCCCTAACATCCTCAGTCATGTAAACTGAAGAAAGTCTGCCGAGGGAATGATAAGATGTTAGATGGAAGAAACTGGTGAGACTATGAACTTCCACAATGCTGAGTGCAACCACAGTGGAACAGAGACAACTTGGTTAATTAGGCGGTAACAGTTCCCTTCTTGGGACACAGTTTCAGTTCAGCGGCCCAATGGGATCACATTCTGCAGATGAATTTCTTCATTTTGTCACGAAGCTTTTTGGTTTTGACTCCATAAATGATGGGGTTGAGCATGGTGGGGACGAGGACATAGACATTGGCCAAGAAGATTTGAACATGAGGAGCGATGCTTCCACCAAACCAATTTATCATAATGAAGAAAAGGTAGGGAGTATAAAACATCAGCATCACACTGATGTGGGCGGTGCAGGTGTTGAGGGCTTTATGGTGGGCTTTCTGAGAGGAGATTCTAAGAACGGCCCTGAGAATCAGAAAGTATGAAAGGGCAAGGAGCATCATGTCCAACCCAACAAGAGTAAGTGTCATCCCCAAGCTATAGAGCCTGTAGAATGTGAGGTCTCCACATAAAATCTTTGCCACAAGGATAGGCTCACAGATTGTATGAGCGATGATGCGTTTGCCGCAGATTGGCAGTTGGCTCATCATCAGGGGCATGGGAAGCGCACAGAGAATCCCTCGTATTAAACTGATGAGCCCAAAGGTAGCTAACCGTGTGTGGGTGAGGATGGTGGCATATCTCAAAGGGTTGCATATGGCCACGTAGCGATCAAAGCCCATTGCCATAAGGATGGAGGATTGCATTACAAAAGCCAGGCCAAGGAAGGTAATTTGGGTGAGGCAGCCACTCACTGTGATAACTTCCAGATTGAACCAAAATATACCCAGGGCTTTGGGCACAATGCAGGTAGAGGTGGTGATGTCGGTGAGTGCCAGCATACAGAGCAGCAGGTACATCGGCTGGTGCAGGGTCTGCTCTTTGCCTACCACGAACAGAACAGAAACATTTCCTAACAGGCAGAAAATGTAGCAAATAGCATAAGGGAGGGAAATCCAGACGTGAGAATCTTCCATGCCTGGGATGCCTCTTAGGATGAATGTTGATGTGTCAGATGGGCTGAGGTTGAAAGCTGCCATGAGGTGGTGGATGAGACAACTGGGTTGAGGAATGCACAGATGCCTGTGAAAACACAGAAGCACACTGAGCTGGTGTTATAGATAATACCCAATATCACAGGAAACATGATAGTTATTACCAGTTTAGAAAAGTGAGTATTGATGTGGCCGCTTCTACAGAAGGCCACAGATTATTTAGACCAAAGTCAAATATAGAGAAGCTCTCGGAAGGCGCTAACTGTTCCAGGATAATTCGCAGCCGGATGGCAGATAAAGTTTGATGTCAAGAGGTTCAACATATCTGCCCACTGAATGGAAAGCTTGAGCTCCTCAAACATCAAACAAGGTTCTAACTGGATGGTCTGAACTCAGGACAGGGACCTGGGCACCTTTGACACACAGCTGTGGGAAACCCTGCTCACAGTGCACGCGTGGGGAGAATCACTGGGGCCCTTGAACAGAAGGACAGGCAGGGGGGATTATACATTTTATAACGAATATAAATATTTGTAAAGTTATGAGTAATCTAACAAGAAGTGAGTAGTGAAGTGGAAACATTTACAGGTGGCACTACATTATTTAGGTGAAATTCAAATCCAGAGAAGAATTCAGAGGAGCTAATCGAGGCAGATGAATCAGTAGGATGACGGCAGGTGACATTTTATGTTGACAACTTCAGTCATTCCATTGGATGGAAAGGTTTCAACCCCTCAAACACTTAACAAGGTTCTAATTTCATTGTATGAACTCAGTACACAGACCTGAGCGCTATGGCCCACAACTCTGGGGAAACCCTTCTGACAGGCCTCGCCATGACAGAATCTAATAAAACATTGGGATCCGTGAGAAATGAGATGGGGAGTCATACATAAAATGCAATGCCATGAGATCATTCAGACCAGGCTGATAAAGCTGTATGCTGCTGTGAG